ATTTGTCCCAAAAATTCATTTTGTCACTGTTGGAGTAAACATTACTTGGAAAAGGGTAAGGGCTCCTATACTTTAAAATATCTGATACCTACTTTCAATGTATCATTTAGTATAGTTATGTTATGCTGATGTGGATGAAAATTCAGAAATCAAACACTGGATTTTTTATTGTTGTCAACAATACAATAAGTACATTTTGTGAAAACTAGATGCTAAAACATGTAAATACATTCTATATAAATATAATGCTTACATATACATACATCACATTTATTTGGCTTAGACTTTGATTTAGATACCCTAATTCTTAGAGTGTGATTGCTTCATTAAAGTCTTGGGATTTGAGTAATTTCTTGTGTCAACCAGAAAATAAACATGTAAATTTGTTTCGATAGAAAAATAAAGAATTGACAGCAATAAGTTAAACGTTGAAAAGTCAAAGGTATGTCAAAAATCGTATGGTATGTAATAAGTGTTTGGGTATTTCAAATTCGGAGATAGTTATCTAATTTTGACTAAGATGTCTGCTGGATGGGCAGTTTCACTGTAAATATTCGAAGTGACAACAGAATATGAACTTGATGAGTCAGGAGTTTTAAATAGAATCCTGTACATTTCTCATACCCTTTGATGAAATATAAATTTATCTTTTCAACAATACAACACAAGTGATCATTTTCATTCAAAATGGAGCCGATTTCTTCAAATTCAATATGGAAACACTGTGACGCCATCTATGGCAAAATTGTTAAACCACTTGATGGGGAGGAAAAAAAGACGTTGTTTTCTCAGTTTTTGAATAAACATAATGAATGAAGCGTGTTCAATATAAACATTGTATCCTGTATGTTTCTATTGTAATTTCAATTAGAAAACCATGTTTATTTTCTGGTGGACACTGTAGTTCAGGACTAGTACATAAATTGGGGTCGATTAAAAAACATTCACGCGATAAAACTTCAAACAGGCCTATTACGTATCAAGTCTCAGGTAACGAACCTAAATATATTCAAATTATTTGTTTGCACGTGAAATTACGTTTAAGAAGTGACTCACATTTTTGGACGTGTTTGAGAGTTTCGTTATCCACTCATACATGGTATACGAAAAAATGTACCAAAACATATTTTTCAATGAATGAAAACAACTTCCAATAGTTCCAATATATCATTTGAGAATCGTTTAGTTTGACCAGTTTTTCTGAATGAGCGTGTATTTCGGGTATAACGATGTGAGTATACTTATCGATTCTGTACAGACGAATATAAATAAAATATTCGGGTGACGCTATTGAATTGAGGAGAAATACTTCACTACTAAAATTAAATATCTGAAAAACAAGATACTCAGCAGACAAAGCAGAGGAATTGTGAAAAACGTATTGATATTCATTCAAGCGAAAGCAAAGGCAGGAACTGATAAGAAGTATCAGTAATAATACTGCTCAAAATGGTGCCTTTTTGTATGAATTCTGTCAGAATTGAATAGGTATATACTTCCGTTCTAAAGTTGATTTGGGTATTTTTTACGTCCACACTGCGTAGAACATCAACTTATGATGAATTTAAATCAAATTAAATTATCTACTATGAAATCGGACTTTCAACTCAGTAAGTGAGGTTAGGTTTTGACAGGTTAGGAGGAGTTATGTTAAGATAGTAACTCAGTGAGGTTAGGTTTTGACAGGTTCGGAATTAGGAGAGTAAAATTAGTTACATTTCGATAAAAATCAAGTAGGTAGTCAACCCTATATTTCTGGTAAGATCATAATGTAGAGTGCTTTGGTAAGGCCTTATTAACAGGGTGTTTCATTTGAAAAAACTGAAAAAAAAATAATAATTCATTTCATCACAGCTATGAAAATTAAAATTATACTAAGAAACCACGTTTTTAAACTTTGACATGGGATAAAAAATAGGCTCCACTTGGAATTATTCGGGAATTATTCTCCACTTCAAAAAAGTCTCGCGAAAATTCAGCCATTATCAGCAGCAGTAATTTAATTTTCCTAGTTTATCATCCATAATCAAAGCCCGATTCAGATATTTTGAGTTCAAAGTCAAGATTCGAAAAAAGTCAGTTTGAATTTTGAATCAAGGAGCTTGGAGCTTGGAATCAGTGACAGAAATTGGAAACTAAAATTTCCAAATGTTTATGTCTAAGTTTTCAAATATCTTTGAGTTTAACAAGATAAAATGTTATCGGTCTCGTGGGTATCAAGAAAAACATATTTCGATGGAATAAACCGCCCTATTTTTATAGAGTAACTGTTGAGATGCCTGCTTTTTGAGATATGCAGTCTACCAATGTTTCAAACAAGTTCTGATAGTAGAGCTGTTTCAATATTGCTCGAGTTTAATAATTGTGCTGTTAATTCGTCGAATCTCAAACCATCAAAGTCTGCCCTTTGAGTTGTTTTGCTGACTGAGATACGTGAACAGTTCCATTTCATTGCATATTTTTTGTACTTTTCAGTTGACTCACTGAACAAATTATTGCTAAGATCTTGAGTGCCGATGCTTTCGTCACTTAACGAGGTGGAGAGAAACCTATCACCTAGTTGAAAACATTACTGTCCATTACTGAAGTAACAGAAACAATTTCCGTACTATTCACCTAGAAGGCTAATTAACTATTCTTGAGATTAGCATTACTCAGAAGATACCCGATTTTTGACTTGTTCGTTTCGATATTTACGTTAATTTTACAATTAATTTCTTATTCACAGTTTTCTAGAAATCTAGGAATCCTCCTGCCCTGTTTTTTAGTTCTATCATGACACACCTGACACCAAATGTATATCTCTATCAAATGGGTTGTTCACTGATTTGTCGTTCTTCAACAATAGCCTTCCTTCAAGAACTATGCAAAGGAAGTCAAGAGAAAGAATTCATTCTTGATGACTCAATAGATAGTATTCTCATGAAATAGACCAAATTAACTATCAGGTTGATAATGGCAAAGTCATTAGTTTTTAAAATGATAAAATATTTCAATAACGTTCGAGAAAGTTACTGTTTGATTTTTGTAAAATTAATTTCGTCTCAAACTTCAAAAACTATGTGGACATCCAAGTGTGGTCCTTCAGTACCTCTAGTGTGATACTTCAGAACAAAAAAAAAATCATAAAATATTCAGACAACTCAACTGAGAGATCTGTATTGGAAATGCCCTATACCATGTACTGTCACTCCGAATTACTTTTATATTATGATATTATCTTTGATATGACGGTTCTAGGAAGAATGCACAATATAACGCATGTGTTACTTCCCCGTACTTCATATACTACGTAAAAAGAACAAATAAAAACATTCAATACTACAAAATTTGTGCCGTCAATTCCGAGAGATTTAAACTTCTAAGAATTCGTTACAAAGTCGTGAATTTAATCATAAAAAACAACTACACGACGACGTGCTAGTGCGTACTGAAGTGTACACTGTGTTGCGACTGTCGAACGTCCATGTCAGAACCTGTCCCGGCAGGTTCTCGTTCCATGGACAACTGCGGGGTATGTTGCGGGGTATGCTGCGGAGTATGTTGCGGGGTATGCTGCGGGGTATGCTGTGGGGTGTGTTGGTGGTAACACTTCGGAATGGCCCCCGTGAGCCTGGAGTCTGAACTGATGGCTCTTTCCAGTTGGCCTCGGGAATGTTGACACTCTCTTCGTCTTGGCCTCGATCTGTGAGTGCAATCGGAAGCATTCGAGCTTCTCCGTTTGGGGCAGTGGGAGTATTGAGATGAGAGTTGTTGAGCCGATCCACCTGGAAGGTCATTTTTCATGAATGAATCTTGAGGCAAATTGTCTCAACAAATACAAGGCGATATAAATGAGATTAACAAAGATTCTTGTTGAAGGTATAGTCTATACGAAGTCAATTCGGATGGCATAAAAACTGAATAGTTACCGAACGTCGGTAGTTTCTTTGTATGTTATGGGCTGCATGGTAAATTCATACGAGGTCTAATCATTATTTTTATGTGAAAGGTTTTATATGATATCAATTAGTAAATTTATCAGACACATTAGGTACAGGTACATTAGTATTATATTTAGTTATTCGGATTGACTTCATAGACTATAAGGGTTCTAACTTTTACAAAAGTATTCACAAATTTGTTCGCGTAAATTGACAAAGTTTCTGTGAGGAAAACCTGCTCTTTTTGGACTAAAAATCTTTATCTGCGACCAACAATGAAAAAAACAACTATGACATCTGTTTATCACTTTATGCTACTCTATTACTGGACAGGCGATGCTGTATGTTGAGTAGCATATAAGTATAAAATGAAATAAAAATAACGAAATTATATCGACCAAAAGAACAATGAAGATTATCCATCACAATTTTTCAAACTCCTCAACGAATTGTCTGCTGCAATGATTAACTAATTTCAATATTTGACTTTGATGCAAAAGTGAAAATTTTCGTTTTCTAAAGAAGTAATAAGAACTTTTGTTTTCCAGGGCTATGATGTTGAACTACGTACTCCGTACTTCATTATTTACCATGTCATGAATAAATCCCAACTACACTAAACTACTAACTAAATGTCGACAAACCTACAGATGATATGATCAGGGAAAACTTCACAACAACCAATTTACTTCATTATGTAAATGACTGGACCATGGCTTTTACTCACATAGATTCACTATGTGAATCTGATAACCTAAAGTACTGAAGGAAAGCTTCATTTCTAGATCACATTCATCATACGACAAACAGAAGTTTCAGAGTAAAAATACACTATTAGTTTTTCTGTGGCAAAAAGTATTCTCAAAGGTTCCATCATCAGCCCCCTTCTCCTTGGAATTTGTAACTGGTGCTCCTTATTGAATGAAATTGTTCTACCCTCGGCAGAAAACACGAAACATTGTCAATCACCTTCAAATTAAACTACGTACTCCGTACTTCATTATTTACCATGTCAACGTCCTTTAATAAATCCCAACTACAATTTTTTTAAATGTCGACAAACCATGCTACGCAAATTATGGATTGATTGATGATCAAATCCCTGTGCCTTCAAAGGTTATAAAAGCCATGAGTGTTGAAGATATGATACAAAATTGACAACCATATTGTTTTTCCAGAACAACGTGATGTGATCAAAGAAAACTTCACAACAACGAATTCACTTCATTATGTGAATGACTGGACCATAGTTTTTACTCACATAGATTCACTTAGACTCATATTCTTAGTCAACGCCCAAGCAACATCTTAGCAGAAAACTGATAACCTAAAGAACTTTGGTAGTGAAGGAAAGCTTCATTTCTAGATCACATTCATCATACGACAAACAGAAGTTTCAGAGTAAAAATACACTAATCTCTTCCAACGTATCTTCACGGTAGGTATTTGTAAATGCATGTCAGAAAACAACTTCTTCCTCGGCTAATAGCATGTTGGACATTGAATTATATCCGACAGACATTTATGCAAAATACCTCAGAGAGGTCAGTCTTGCAGATGTTTCTCGTTCATCCAACAGTATGATTACGCTGCAGGCACACTGGTTTTCAAAATTTATGCCACATAATTCTACACTTGAATGCTGCGTGTATGGTTTTAACACCGTTTCCATATTGAACACATGCATTTGTTGTATACTGTTCTCCAATGTACATTTATCTGATCGCTTGCAATAGTCAAATTGCAGCACAACATGTCTGTATTTCTTGAGGTATTGGAGGATTTAACCTCGGTCTCTTCGCGGGAGTACAAACAAATCCCACTGATGACAACGCAGGTTGTCACTCCGAGTGAAACTGATTCCACATTCACTACACCAATACATCTTGTATATAATACCACATGATTAGGAGGAGAATTTGAAATGAGGTAAAATCCGACGTAAATCTATGAGGTTTCATCCAAGGTCCATCAACCTCAAGGTAATGTATCAAGGACAGAATCGGCCGTCAAGGTCGAACTCCGTGGTCAAGATCATATGCCCTGCTCATAGTTCAAGAACGTTCAGGATATTTAAGGGCACATGACGTCAACTTAACTCAAGGTCGTGTGACGGCATTCAAAGTCGAAGTCGAGTGGGGGAGGAAGTTCAGAATTGTCATTAGCACCCTACTACTTCAGTGCGGTTCGATTGTATGTATAAAACCGGAGAGAAAGATTGTTAGATACTCGATTGATTTGTATTCTGAATTCTGACTATTTGATAAAGACGTTATCAGTGATACATGTAACCACTTAATTATTCAAGAACAGACTTGATGAAACTCCATTTTTAGTGTAGCATTCATATAAATTCGTATATTACTAGGCCTTTGAAGGAATCTCATCTCACCCTTTGATTATGTTCAATAATAGATAATGAAATGACTCAACAAGGAACTGAAAGAAGGACCGTTACGTCACGAATAAGTTTTGAAGATAACCAACCTTTGGAAGTTTCTTTCAGAGAGTGTGTCTGCATCCTGACAGAACAAGAATGTGAGCTCCTTCTGCAACCGTTTTCATTGTTCTGGTTAAGTTCTTCGTCCACCCGTCGTTGTCTCTTGAGAGGATTTCGACGTTTGTCTTTGACACGTAAGGTTACGGGACAATCCAAATGCAAATCCATCACCATCGATCCTTGGCTACCGCTGGGATGCAACGACTCGTTACTTAACCTACAAAAGTTAACTGGAATTGTCAAATCAGGATATATCAATGAGTATATCCTTCAAACCGATGAAATGATGAGAAAGGCTAGGCCATCAAACTGACAGCGACAAAGTTGACAGCCACGAAAGTATCATTTAGGTGTAATCATTCTTGAATCATATGTGACTCTTGGGGTCTAGTTCTCTCTCTCTCTCTCTCTCTCTCTCTCTCTCTCTCTCTCTCTCTCTCTCTCTATGGTAATGGCGTTTGCTTTCATTGAGGCGCATTAATCCATTTTGGGTCTAGTTATACATAATTCTGACAATATAAATCAATTTCACTGTCAAATTTAAACAATGAAATCAAATATGAACTCATTTTCCGTCACTTTGTGCTGAATATTGTAACTGCATAACTGCTCCTAGATACATTCACAGGTTTCATTTGATATTATGATTATAACCTAACTCTACTGAGAGAACTCAAATGAATATAATATCACTCATCAATACAATGAACAGATACAAGAGACCGAAATGTCAGAATCGAAACTTATTCGTATAATGACAATTTTCAATTCAAATGGAAACGTTATTCTGGATTTTGATGAAATTGATCCTTGATAATTATTGCTGCCACTACTATATTTTTTCTCAGGCACAAATAAGTGAGGTTATTGCAGAAAACGCATCAACAATAGGCGACATACTTGACGCGGCTACAGGCATTACCAATACGTCGCGTATTCTTTTAGATTTCATCAAAATATCCATTTTGTTTTGGTGACCTTGCCTTCAATTTTCTTATCATTTCATCGGATCGAAGAAAATAATATATTAAAGTGTTTGATATCAAATTATAATACTATATTTATATAGTACCTAAAATTTCCGCCTGTTTCATCAACAGAGAGCGCATGCCTATGCAGTAACCCTGGATTGAGAAGAGCACAAGCCGCGAAAGTTCTCGGTTTTGTTGTCGATTTCACAGGAATCGGTGTGAGATTAGAAACTGGTGTGTTCGTTGGTACTTCGACACCCGACCGTTCCAAGATCAAATCTGGAGCGGAAGGACTTCTGTTGATAGAACCCTGAAAATACGAAATGCGTTTATTAAATGCATCAATGTACATCTAGATGGTAGTTCAGTATAAATGTTTTCAGATATATGAGCTTCCACAATTCGAAAAATAAACAAAGCTGAATCATTAAAGAATTTGCTGAAGTGTAATTAAAGACAACCTGAAAATTACACACCAAAAAGTTATTGCGTAATGTAAACCACTGAAGATTCCAATTATTATGTCAATGTATGTCATGTCATAGTTCATATCATAATTTATTTTGTGTTTTGGGTAGACATATGAAAAATATCATGATATATACAAAACAACAAGTCAAAAGTTGACAAAGACAACATGTGAGATGTCTATAAGCTAGCATATGGATCATACACTAAACTTTTTATAGAAAAAACGTTTGGAAATTACAAAACGAGAATTTAAGAACCCAAAAGAAATTTTGGAACTGAATAAGGCCAATTTCATCTTTGCTTGCTACCTCTTAGAGAATAACCACGATTTTAACATAAAATGCGCAGTATTACTTACAAAAAAAAAGATAAAGAAACATTTTGAACCTGTCGGAATCCATGAAAAAAAAAGCACATTTTCTTTTAAACGGCCAACATGAAGTGATTCACTCACCCGTATTGAACTTATTTTCATAAAAGTCCAAGAATTTGTCCTTTAAAATTTACCGGCTTACTTTGAATTAATATTGCATCGTACTTACTTTTACTCAGAATTCATCTGAATTACCGTCGATTTATAATTGAGTTCTATAAATACTGTTGTATGAAATGCACTGTAGAATAATTTAATGTACCACCAGTTCGACTGAGGAAGTTACTGTCTAGCGAAAAGTTGTGTCAAAATTGTTGTATTGAATTCAACATTTTTCATGATAATATTACTCACAACCGGGAAAAAGGAGAAACCAACCTGTACCATAATGAAAAAAATTGAAGCAAAAAATACTGATGTTATTATCTCTATTATATATGTTCCCAACCTGTGGAACCTTGAGCGAAATCTTTTTCGGTTGAGCCTCTAACACGAGACCTCTGGAGAAGTGCATAAACGATTGCGTCATCGCTCGCCTGTCAGCTGTCGAGGAATGACAGTGCGCGTATTGCGTGGTTTGAGATCCCGCCGTCTTCAGGGAACTGTGCCTACTGTAAGTTCCATGGCTGACATGTTGACAAGCGTTGGGTGGTGGAACGGTGGTGCTCAGCTTGAATCTGGCTGGTACCACTTTTGCAGCTGAGTCTCGAGCCTCGAAGGTCATCACACAGGCTGCGACCACTATGAAGCCTGAAACAAATGTCAAATGATTCGTCAATGGAAGTTCGAAAGGAAGTTGCATAAAGCTCCAAGTTGTAATGATGAATTATACTCTGTTTCCTAATAGCAAAAATGATAAATCATCATTACATACTAAGTGACAAGGAAAAATAATCACCCATTCATTTTGGAAATATTTCAATGTTTTGCATGTGTATTTATGTTGAGGAGAGTAAAATTTCAGTCGTATCGGAAGTTATCCTGACCAGTTTTTCAACTGGTTTTTTTTGTGTGAGCAAAAAAAATTGAGTAAAATTTTTCAAGAACGAAAAATTCAGATGCATGTAATGAAGGCGCGTAACACTACCTTTAGTAGTACTTCTGTTAATTCAATATTTATTTTTTTCAGTCTAACTTTATCTCATCTTCCATACTGTATCTAAATTCATCTGTTTTGATATTTTGGGACTCTTTAACTTCTACTTACGAACTGTGGAAGTCGAATAGCAAACCCTACCTCCGAAAGATTACAAAAAATATGTGTTCCTTTCATGTAACACCTACAGTCACTAGTATGAAGCCTATTTCGATAAATAAATCTCACCTCCAACTCCCATGACGATGGGTCCAGCATAAGAAAGATTGTTCAAGTGAAAGCTCTTCGTTTCATTTTTTGCTCTAATGGTGTAGTTTCCCTTCACTTCTTTGGCCACAGATAAGTGATCAGCATAATATCCTGAAAGCATCAAGATTCAGTTGAATTGTAAAGAAAATTAAAGTCCCCAATCTGTGTCAAGACTTCAAAGTAGTGAATATATTCGAATGTGTCATCTACCGACAGACAGAGTCAGAATTAGTTTGATGGTAATCAGATAGAGGGCGCTAAATTTGCTTTTTTCATCTGTTAAGCTCACCGACATAACCTATAAGGTTAGGTTATGTCGATGGTTAAGCTCGGCAAATGCAACTGTGCCTCTGAGATGCGCAAAAGATAGAGAGAGGTGGTAACTGCCCAATACCAACTTTTACCAGGAAGTAAAATCAGGGAAAGAATTTTGGTTTGAATAAATACACATATACCAGTAGGAAACGGTAACCCCAACTTTTTCTTATGTGCAGGTGGAAAATAATTGAGAGCTAATGAGTGATTTATAATTGCAAATAATAGATACGTACATTACCATTAAAGATAACTGAATGAAAAGAAAATGGATAAACTTGCAACCGATAATTGATAGATAATTGAAGGCATAGTTACTAGAAATTATTAAGAAACGTAGCAAGTAGATAATCTACACAACATTGCTTGCAAAATTGAACATACCACTGTATACACAGATACGATTCGTATAATATTTTCGAAGATTGGTCGCCTAAAGATATTGTTATGATTTTTCACCTTTCTCCGTCAACATCCAAGTTTATGAATTTATTTTCACAAAGACTCCCTGATACCCTGATAGTCAATATCACGGATGATAGTGTTATGAATTTCCCTAAGGGTAGGAACTCGGTTTCCTTTAATACGGAAATTAATTATGCATCTGCGTAAAATTTCTCCACTTACTGTTCTAACACAATGTTCACTACACGAGTTCCTCGATGTTAACGAGCTATCGCCCCACTCCGTCGGCTTTGAGTCAAAGTTTGGAGCAAATATCAGTTACTTCGTTGGTAAGCTCAATTGAAGTGTTTTTTTTAATGAACTCCCTTTTAGCAATGCAAACTCGTACATACAATGCCACCCTATTTTTATTATCCATAGAAAATTTGTTATTTCCTCAAAAATGCATTTTATTATCCACCTTCGTATTGTTATGAGGTCAAGTTCAAATCTGCTTCATTGTCTGGAGATTATTACTTCTTTAAAAAGTCAATCGATAATGAAATATCAAGCGAAAACCTTTAAAAACATGCACATAAATCAATATTCAACTACAATAGGAATTGTTCCTAATACGAAACGTTCCTCAATTCGGGTTATTACAGCAAATGCAAGTTTGAACAAAATGAAGTTGAGTTTAATTCATGAGTTTTTCAAATTCACTTCGAAAAGTATTCAAATTGATGTTTCAAATGTTGGGTTTTAATTTTTGAAGGGATTTGTTTCTAATTCACATATTGGCAACAGCGTCTATATCAAGTTGAAACAATTTATACGTACCTAGAAATTCTACTTTAAAAAAGGAAAATTATCTTTATAAATCATCAATAAACGCAAAATATAAATCATAGTTAAATATCACCTCCACAAGCCACATAAACAACAGTTGTTTTGTTATTTATTTATATAGAGGAAGATAGGTTAGGTGCACAAAATGTCATATGTCACAGAATGTCTCGGAACTCGGAACATAAGTAAACAAAACGGCACACCTCTAAAATATGTCATCTTTGTTTGTCTCATACAGGTAACAGATTCATTGTCCTTTATTAGCTATAACCGATATTGCCAAATGGTGAAATAGAAACGAATCCCTTTAAATGTTGAATACATTATTTCATTCCTCTTTTTTAAGTATTCAAATAATTTTTTAAAGAAAAAGGTTGAAATGATAAGTTTAAAATGCGTTGTTTTAGATCTCTTTTTTGAAAACTACTTGATTTTCGTCAGAAGGAACGTTCCCCATTGCGGTGAAAAAAATATAAGGTCGTATTCTGGAAATGATGAAAAAGATGAAAGATTTTGGCTTTCTTCTTCTCTAATTTTGTGCAAAAAATTGTAGGAATTTTCCCAAGAAGAAAGCAATTAATTTCAATTTTATTTTTTGAAAATGCAAAGTAGTAACTTTCAGAAACAAACTCATTGTCATTGTCAAATATTTCCAGAGATTGGAATTTGAATATTTTCTTCAGCAATCATCATCTTTTAAATAGTTTTGAATTGTTTTCGAAGAGATAAATATTCCTTTCAAGTTATTTCCCTATTGATAAAACTTAGTATCAATTCACTATTATTAATATAATTTCAGCAATATTTCGTACAAACATTAATAATCGATGGATACTAATGGAACAATACCTTCAAAAAACCTTCTAAAGTTGATCTACCAAAGTCTCTGTCGTTTGCCAGTCCCTTGAGTGAAAGTAAATAGACAAACAAAGGAATAATACATCATGGATTAGAGACAAACAGCTGTCAAAGTGTACTTTTGAGTTGGTAACAAGATACCTAAAAGCTCCGGAAAGGGGGCACCGAAAACTTGTCGACCCGTGTAATACCCGAGAAGGATCTCGTCCTCGCCCAAAGCGCAGGAAATGAAATATGGATAGAGCTCTCTTAATTTTTCATGCTCGACACTCTTCCCGCAGAAAGACATTCAGCAGAAATGTGAATGTTGGCACTTATTAGTTTCTGGTAACAATAAAAATATCGAACTTTCCAAACGAAAGTGTTTCTTACAGCAAAGTAAGTTACACTTTAAGCGCAAGAATAGATTCAGTATCGCTTTAACCGCAAGAATAAAGAACTGTTACGTTATTTCCCGTAAGTTCGACAAGAATTGACCACACTCTATAATTAAACTCAACTTTATTTCACTACCACAGAAACTTCATATGTCTATATCCTTACACGCTCAATTCACACTACACTTTTCAAACAAAATTCACACTACACTTTCCAAACAAGACAGTCTCTTATACTTCGTGATATTGCTTATATACTGTGGGACAGTAAACTGGATGCTTTTTGCAACGGCCTTACAGGCCGTTTTATTGAAAGTAAACTTCAAAACCTCAAAATTTTATCAAAAAATTACCATGATTCAACGAAAACTTTGTTATTTAGTAATATCAACTTGTTAAATTACGAGTACGTAGGACGAGTTGACTCAGGTTGCCTCTTTGATATAGAAGGAAAGGGTCTATACCAAAGACTATACCTTCTATAGCGTGTAGAGGGCGCTGTAATTTCTAACATTTGCGTATGAGTGGGTGTGATTTGATAATGATTCACAGTTTTGATTACGACATGATTAAAAATACATTTTCTGTGACGATAACTAAGGAAAAAGTCGTTATGTGGGATGTCCTCAGGGTGCAACGCCACGTACTTCCTAATGATCTTCAAAACACTCACATCAGTAGTGCAGTAGTGCAGAATGTACGATCTTTCTCGGTTTTTCTATCAATAAGTCCAACAATTTTTATCGAATTTCTATCATCCACGAATGTTACCTCCAACTCATCTGATCTGCATGCTCCGTACAGATCCATTATTGCCACAACACATTCTATGTACATTCTATGTACATGGCAACACATTGCCTTCATAGACATATACTCCTCATCTGCAGCTTCTTCAAGGAATGTATGGATGAGTTGACACTTCAACAAGATGAGGTACCTCCTCTATGTGCCTTTGTTTTTTTAAGGTCAAAACACAAGCACTATAGGAAAATCTTTGAGGCGCTCTAAAAGCGGTGCTTGTGCCAGAATAGCGATTCACATTGGATTCAAATCGCTGGAGCTTTACCGCCAATATCAAATGTGTCAAGTCACTTGAATACTTCACTTAAAAGTACAGTACTCTCTCGCTAATCCGCCACCATAAAATCCGGACCATCGGCGGATTACTGGAAACGGCGGATTATAGTGTCTAGGAACAAAAAAATAAAAAACATATGTAGATATTTACTCATATGCAGATATATTTTGTATTAGTATGTAGGTTTACAAAAATGAATTGAAATTAGAAAATAAACTGACACGTAACTGATTACTCAGGTTTTGAAAAATACTGGTCTATTTTGGCCTGTTTTTTGCCATAATAAATCTTCGTAATTACTTGATCACGCATTTTACGTAAATTTCTAACCATATCGTATGTCATTCCATTTTCCTGAGCCCATTTAATGCAAGTGTCAACACTTTCCAAAGCGTCCTCTGATTTGACAGTGCAATCTACATGTACCGACATTTCGTCTGATGAGCTATCAAAGGATGAGTCAAATGATTCATTTACAAGCTCATCTTCGGTTAAATGTGTCTCATATATTTCTGGGTTTTCTTCAAACCAATTTTCAACATCTTCACGTGTTAAACCTGCATTAGGNAACCTTTTTCGATGTTTCAGACTATCAAGTCTGGGTGTTCTTGTCTTCAATCAGGCGGATGGCTCTTTTCTGAATGTAATCCAGCAGCTTCAGGGTACGCTTAAGGGGCGGAGCTCCATACATGAGAACAATACTCCAAAGAAGGTCTTATCTGAGCATCATGAAGCATCAAAAGTTTTTGGTTCGGAACAGTGTTCCAAGCTTTTGAAAAGCAGCCTTTGCAATTCCAGCGACATGACTGTGCCAAGACATATTGGTGAACATTTTAACCCCCAAAAAACTTATCGAAGCAGAAAGTGGAATTGTCTGTCCTGACATTATTACATCCGGTTCGGAGACATTTATCTTCTTGAAGAAAGCCGATTCCTGGGTTTTTGTGGCATTGAATTGAACCTGATTACTTTCACCCCAATTCGAAATTACTTCTGGATGTCCTGGAATCCAAATGTAATGACGAAACAAGTGTGCTGTCCTCGGCAAAGCAATATATTGAATACTTAAATACGCTAAAGTTTTTTTTGAATACGTTAGTTATGGATTTTCATCAAGTATCGGCCAATTCCATCATATATATTTATCATTCTGACACTCGGAGGTATGTCTTTGTGGACGTGTTTCCGGATTTTGACGCAGGTTGCGTGGTATACAGCCTACGAAATCAACTTCCGTCGGAAGTATATAACTCACCCAGCACTGACGAGGAGTACAGCCATGTTCAAACCTCCAATAAACTGTAGTTCCATAGTTCGAACTATGTTTCTTTCAAACAAAGATATAAATACTAAAAAGCTAATGAACAAGGATGAAGGGATCTTTGTTTTTTTAAAGAAGGAGAAACAGGATTTATGAATGAAGCCGATGGCAAAGATTCCTCATCAGAAGAAGTTGATTGTGGGTGTCTTTGAAACTTATCGCAGAAAAGAAACGAAACAACTATTGCTGAAAGTACTTTCAGTTAGTTTTAGTTAATAACTGTTTTTATTGCATGAAGTATGATGGAATACTTTGAATTCATGAATCTGTTCGATTTATTCCGAGAATTATTACCTATAGTAGCCATAGCTGCCCCCAGTACCATCAGCAACAATCCTAGACTCAGCGCTTTGCAGGCGTTCCACAAACATCTTCCGTTGACTTTTCCCCTGACCACTTGGACATTCCACTGTGCGCCAGATGCTGGATGGGCTCTTCTAACGACCTCAGAAGCTCCACCTCTGGCGGCCCATCCTGTGCTAAGACTAGAATGTAGATTCATCTCCAACCTGGAAAGGAAAGAAAATAACCCATAATGATAACAAACAAATAATTCAACCCTTGTTGGTAAACTGGGTATACACTGTCACCGATAAAGTCCGCATCAAATGGGAAACTTTTTTATTTATCGTTTTATGTGAAATTTGATTTTGGCAGAAGATTTTGCTTAAGAAATGATGTCAAATGGCGTCTACAAAATAGGTCACGTGATTTCCTTAACCTGTCAAAATTGACATTTAAAAAAAGAAACATCGAAAAATGACATTATTCTTCAAAATATCCAAAAATATCAAAGGATANTGTCAGATTACTGGAATATACACTTTTTAGCATGTAATTAACTCACCCTACCTCAATCTGACGCGCTCGAGAATTTCTGATGATCAATTTTTTTTTACTAATCTGATCCTTTATCCTTCACGGGCGGCCTTATATATGGGGCTCATATTTGGTAGAGGTATTTAACCGGGTACAAGGTATCCCCCTGTATATTAATCTGCCGCGCTTCAGTAAATCCCGAAATCTCCGCTTGGGCTCCCCTATTATAACGAGAACAACCGTCTCGACAGAGTGATCTGGGTAAAGTCTGCAGAGTTCGAAGAGAAAATCTCGATATTCATTCCGTTGTTCCTACTTTTTTCGGACGACATTCGTCTCACCGGGAGCTGAAAACTCCCGAGATATATCGTCTTGCTCTGGTGGTCGAGAAGAACTACATCAGGCGTATTAGCTTGAATGAGCCTGAGGGTGGAGAACGAATACCGTAAAAGCGCCATAGGTGGTTATAAAGTACTGTTAGGGCCACGTTTTGTCGATAGATATAGACAGAAAGCGCATATGCTGGACATGCTGACAGCAAGTGCATTAGGGTATCAGGCGCCTCGCGATATGCCCTGCTTCTTGTGCCAGAGACCTCTATACCCATCACGCGACTACGATAGACTGAGTAGTTGAAGGCACCTTCCTGGCCGGCCATGATGAAACCCTCAATTTCCAACTTCAGCCCACTCGACCTGTGGAAAGCGAAGATGAGACGTTTTGATAAGCCGATGTTCCCAATGCTGTTGAAGAAGACCCCATGCATTGGCTTATCCAAAGTGTTTCTGCAAGAGTGAAGTGATATCTATGGCTTTTATATAGACCTTTTGCTTAAATTCCTGCTCTCTCATGGTCGCGGACCATGTAGAGAAATGGATCCGAATTCCTGATGACTCTACAGGCTCCATATAGTACCATTCTGTCACGTGGACACTTCAAACTCAAATGTCCATGATCTCCTTGTTGACGAGAGAATTGTACAACCGTGAAACGAACGATTTGGGATGCAAACTTCTATGGAGATGCATCATTTTTCGGATCTTTACGTTAAGTTGATACAGTTTATATCGGGTCCATTTCACTACTCCAAACGACAGAGTTCTTCACTGCTGTTACCTCTTGTAAGTGGCGATTTTCCACCCCGAGGTAAGTATACGCCTCTCCGGCATCCAGATGCTTCCATCTACGAGCTAAACATCATCTCCGTAGTCCCCGCATCGTCCTCTTTTGAGATGGACTGTTGCACATTTTTGTATCCCACCATGCATGCGTGTACTCTTTCACCACCCTCAATGAATGATGGAGGTCCTTTTCTTCAGAGGCATAAAGTTTAAGATCGTCCATATAAAACTAATAGGTGGCCTTATGCTTTCGGTTTCTGGGGGTATCACAGTTATACCCTCGAGTATTTCTGAGCGAAACGGAGATGCAGTAAAGAAGAGGACTGAGGGAATCACCCTTAAATAGACCCTTTCTAAAAGTAAACCACCCTGTTTGGACTCTAGCCTGACCAGAAGTTATTACTATTATTACAAAAACAGTCATTTTCGGTACCATTTTAAGATTCAAATAAAATCTGTAGTAGCACTTTATTATCAGTAGCATTAGAAGTATCAGTTATCTGTGATAACTAATCACATTGTACCGTGGGGAAGTCTCATATAATGACGTTCTGTGCTGTGGATTTTTTAAAATAGCTCCGTTACTTCCACTAGCATGCCATTCTAATGAAGAACATATTTCAAAAGATCTGAATATCACGAGATGGTAGCTCACTCATTACTCACTTCGTTTCCCGTTGGAAAGAGATAGTTCTTTGACCTTTTCCGAGAGGATGCTTTCTTGTTTCTTGACGTGGCTGTGCATAATCTGGAAGGACTTCGTTAAAATATCGTATTTGCCACTTGACAAACTTGACAAGACGTTCTTTGTGGCATAGTGACAAATTGTACTATTCTAGGAGAATGATGAGGAATATCAATGAAGGAAAATATTGATATTTGAGTATTTGAACTGTACTTCTATTCAATGAATCAAAACCATAGTTTTTATTGGCCTAGTGTTTTACGGAGGGGGTTGATTCTTTATGAAAAGTATATTAAAAGTCACTACGAATGAAAATTGTTTTATAATACAGATTCACCAATCAAAAAAACTCTCTTGTGCAAAGTTAATTTTGAAAAATTACAGAAACTAATTGAGAGTAAAAGAACTGAAAATCATGTTTCTCACAGATAACTACTGAACTATAAATTGTAATGGAAAACTTTATACAGGTGTAGACAGGGCAACTTATTAGCTACAATTAATGTTTCCTGTCCTGGGACAGTGACGATGTTGGTTATTTTCATTTTGAAATCCCATTCCTATCTGAAAACGAAGAAAAAGTTGTAGACTAGGCCGTTTTCACAGAATTTGCAGTGAATAAATGGACAAAACCTGTTTAACTAATCAAAATGAAGATAAATCAGAAATCACATTTGACGAAATACTGAATTAATACTTGCACATTGAAACCTCACGACCAATGGAGCCTTTGGTGTAATGCTGCCCTCTATAATCTCGAATTTCAAGAAATCTTGGTGGGACGAATGCAAAAAACTGTAATTCTTGTCTGATTGCGTCTTCTAGGGCACATCATTATTGGACCCAATGGTCACTCACCCTACGATGTGGGTAGTGGTTACTGAGGCTCTCTGATCACACTTGCACCATAACAGTTCTCATTTGTTTCATAGTTTTAACATAGACAAAGAAACACCCTTTTTGCAAACTGAATCACATGACAGCTGTCAGTGTCAATAGTTTGTTCTCTCTCTTTGTACTTCAACCACATGGCCTTTATCGGTAGTCCATAATGGGGAATGTTCCTCAATTTGGGTTATTACAGCAAATGCAAGTTTGAACAAAATAAAGTTGAATTTAACTCATGAGTTTTTCGAATTCACTTCGAAAAGTATTCAAATTGATGTTTCAAATGTTGGGTTTTAATTTTTAAAAGGATTTGTTTCTAATTCACATATTGGCAACAGCGTCTATATCAAGTTGAAATAATTTATACGTACCTAGATATTCTACTTAATCAACAATTAAGGCAAAATATAAATTATAGTTCATTACCCACAAGCCACATAAACAACAGTTGTATTTATTTATATAGAGGAAGATAGGTTAGGTGCACAAAATGTCATATGTCACAGAATGTCTCGGAACAGGGATTTCAAATCAATTTATATTATATTAGACAATGGAGGTCCGAACTGATGAAACATTGTCAACCACCTTCAAACAAACGAATGGATTAGTTAACGGGTCATTCAAGCAAAGAGTTACCAAAACACTCTTTCACGTGATACAAGTAACAAAGAGTTATATTTTGACAAAATACAATGCACACTTTTCATATAACCCATTGTTTTACAATAAATACACTAAAATTCACAAGGAACACCTTGCGAACTATTTTATCTTCATATTAAGATTTGAAAAGACGGTAGAGGTGAATAAGGGGGTTCTCCAATTCATTTTTTACACAGTTCTTGAGTTTTCTCTCTCCTCTTTTATTGTGACGAAGTGACGTTTTATTTACAGTTGAGACCATAGACATGATGAAAGCAAACAACGGGTTAGTTAACGGGGGTAAAACTACATCCCATTTTTGATTAAACACGCTGTTAACCTGTTTGACGTCATTCAAGCGGGAAGTTTCCGAAAAAAGCTTCCATGCCATAAAGATCACCTCTCGCTGCACTTTTCATTGATGGAACCCCGACACCCACAACTCCTCGAACAAAAAAGCAAGCTGCAGCCTCTCCTCTTTCATAAGAACAGACAAATAAAGTACCGATGCTCCGCGATACGAGGGAAAATGGAACTCCTCACCTACAGCAATCCTCGATCTCCACAAAGCACAATTAGCCACACGACACGTCACTAACCCCACACATCACTGCAGTCCCCGAGAAGAAACCGATCGCCATGAATGAGTCGCAATGGTCGCAATAAATGCAATTCAATCGAAAGGGCATTCATCCAGCATCCCTATGGATCACGCCGGCAACAGGTCGATCATGCGCTGACATATCCAAGCTATCGACCGTTTCTTCAGGCATTCGCTCTTGTCACAAAAGACTCATCCGCGAAGAGGCTTTTCAAAAATCCCATTTCCAGTCACAATCCGCCTGCATCAAGAATTCATGTGAATGGGTTTTGAATGATGCTGCCAGTGTTTCAAGAAAGACGCGGGAAAAGGACCGGAAATGCTTGTTTACCGCTGGTTTGGGGGGGATGTTGGGGTCGATATTACTTGTTTTTGTTTATTTGGATGCGATGGAAGTTATGCTATTTCAGACATAAGATTCACGTTGTTGTTGTTGTCCTGCATTATTTTGTTTTGCGAGCGAACAACAAGAGAGAGAAGGTTGATGTTGACATTTTTTAGTTCCTCTTCTCTAGACTGGAAAATTTGAAATGTAACTCCACTATTGAGATATAATTACGATAAGATAACTTTTTACTAATTTCAATATAACAAAATAAATATAGGTGAAACCAGGGCTGTAGAAATCCAAACCAAATTTGCTGATAAAATCATTTTGATTATAGGAATATATAGATCACCTTCACAAAAATCGATGTTTTTAATGAAAAACTTAACGAATATCTGCGGCACTGTCCAAAAACT